GAGTTCAAACTGCTGACCAGAGTGGTCAGAATGGGCATTGCGGGACACCTCCTGGAGGCCAATTAAAGCAATGAAATCAAACGTTGTGTCTATACTGGCACTTTGTCAACAAAAAATTTTGCACAAAAAGCCTTATGTCTCTCTTTGGAGTAACTTTATTTTGTTGCTAAAACAGGCCATTTTTGCCATCAGAAGTCACATCTCAGTGTGTATGCATTCACTGTTTTGTTGACAAAAGGCAGCTTTTGTCGACAAAACTCTGTAGTGTAGACAAGGGCTCAGAAGAAATACAGCCAAGTCCTCTGAGCCAAGGTTACATTCAGAAAAGAGGGGGATTTGAGGGGCATAGTTGAAAAGAAGGGTCCCAAACCCAGGGAAGTAATAGCAGTGGTAAAGAGAAGTTCCCACTCTACTTGTGTGCTTATGTGGTCCCCATCACCATATTATCTAAGTACCTCACACTGTCTAACCTATTTCTCCTCACAGCCCCTTGTTGAGGTAGAGTAGTGCTGTTATCCCCATTGTACAGATGGGACACTGAGGCACAGAGAGACTAAAGGCCAGATTTTCAAAGATATTTAGGCACCTAGTGGGATTTTCAAAAATATCTGGAAAGTTAGGTGCTTTGTAAACCCCACTAGATACCTAGCTACATCTTTGGGTGCCTAAAAGACTTTGAAACTCCGTCCCTGAGGCACTGGCTTGAGGTCAGATAGGACGTCCGTTGTGGGAGTCTCCCAGGTCTCTCAGGGCTATCTCCCTATCCACTGGACCAGCCTCTCTCTCTGCTGCATGCTGCAGAGAAAGAGGACTCTGATAGATGGGAGCAAAACGAAGAAGGCCAGTTCTCTGAGACTCCAGCAAAGAGTCTGAGGTGATTGAGAAGGATGTAGTGCTTGACAGCATGAAAAGCAGCACAGAGGTCAGGAAGGATGAAGAAAGAAAGAGAGATAATAAGAAGTAGATGAGAAGAGATCACTTAACGCCCAGGGGGTGGCAGGTTCTGCCCCCTGCTGGGTTGTAGAGAAATGGCTGCTGTGCAATTTTACATTTTAATTGAAAACCTTTTTGTTTTGTCATTTTTTGTTCTGAGTTCGAGAAAAGGAAGAAATGAGAAAGTGTTGGATAAATATCAGATGTGTTTCCTTATTCTTGTTGTGCCTTATTCTTAGGGTTTCTGCTGTGTCCAGGACAATTCCAGAACAAAGAACAGAAATTGCATTCACAGGGTCCGTAAAGTTGATGATTATTATTGTGATTTGTGTTATTCACTGGGCACCATCTATGTGCTCAGCACTGCTCAGAATATGTCAGAAAATGTAGTCCCCGAGCCAATGCGTGTAAGATGTGTAGCCCTGGATAAGATGGCTCAAATATTTAAGTATGAAGTGTATAGTTATTGAGCACATGTTAATATCTGAGTGGAGGTGCTGATGGCAATAGAATTTTTACATGATTTAAGGACTAGAAGATTTGACCTTCCAAATTTCTTTCAAGAGGAAGAGCTTCCCAGAGCTCCTGTGCCTGTTTATTTTTCTTTCCTGCCTGCAGTGGCCCTGATATACCTCAGAAGCTTCAATTTTTTTCTCCACTTTAATATGTGGAGTTTTCTTGGTATTTGGTTTTAAATATTCTCCTGTGAGAACTGCAACTCAGCTACTGTAGTGTTGTGTTTAAGAGCCTTGTGGAAAGTAACTAGTCTTTGGTAGATGGTGTAATGCCACCCTTGCTTCTGCACTGCTGTTGTGGCTTGTGGTGCCTGGTGCTTGGCTGCATTTTGCCAGAGCCCAGGGCTCTCCTGCATCCCTCTGGTCATTCCTGGCTCACCATTTCAGATTTTTTTGGGGGGGTGGGAGAGGAAAGGAAACTTTAACCATGATTCCAGGGACTACTTAGGCACCTGAAAACTCTAGGGTTTTTGCAGATAACAACTTATGAATTAGCTGACAGCAGCACTCTAATTGTTATATAAAAAAGACAAAATATATACAAACTCCAATTAAAGCCACACTTAAAGTTTATATGTAAATTTAGAACAATCAGGAGATAATACAACAAGATATTCTCAATCCCAAGCCTTGAGGTATCATTTCTGGAGCTTTAACACAGATATCAGAAACACATCTGATACTTTGTACACTATCTTTAGTAGAGATTAAGCAGATTTTATTTATTTTTATTTCTTTCTCCAATAGACACACTGTGTTATTGCCATTATTTCTTTTTTATTAAGACAGGGAATTATTTTTTCTAATTATTTTGGCATTTAGCTTTACTGTCACAATCATGTATGTGACTCACTAGCATGTGACTCTATCACTGCTGTTCGTGTCATAGTTGGAACTGCATTTATTTTCATGCAAATTTTAAGTTATTTTACAGATATAACTAATAGTACAATTTGAAAATAAGCAAACTTCATCTGCCCAGTGTCGAAAGTTATGTGTTTAGCTAATGTTTTTAAAACTGGCACTGCTAAGGTTAGTACAAGCTAAAGTTACATTCTAGAAGGATACTGTTATTTGATTGTACCACTTTAAATAATGAATGACAAAGCACAATATGATAATAAAAGTAATAATGATAATTACTCCAGCCAGGACAGGTTAGGCATTTTAGAACTCACTACTCAAAGAATTAAAGTTAAGCCTAAGAGAGAAATACAATTATGAAATGCATAGACCAGTCAAAAAAACTAAAATAACAGCACTTTGAAAAAAGAAAAGGAGTACCTGAAGTGAGCTGTAGCTCACGAAAGCTTATGCTCAAATAAATTGGTTAGTCTCTAAGGTGCCACAAGTACTCCTTTTCTTTTTGCGAATACAGACTAACACGGCTGTTATTCTGAAACCTAGCACTTTGAAAGAATACAATTACAGAGAATATATCTGCACTGCAGGAAGTACCAACAAGTAACAACAACAATATAAGTATGTATTGGGGGCGAGTGTGAAAGAGCCAGAGTACGTGACCTTGGGGAGTGGGTGAGAGACCCCGCGGTGCCCCTTTAAGAGAGCTGCACTCACCAGTCTGAAGGAACGCTCCTTCAGACACAGCAGCAGCTGCCAGCAGCTCCGTCCCACTCTTGGTGAGCCCTGTTGTCCCCCCCCCACCCGCTCTGTGGAGATGGAGTACATGGATGGGCAGGGGCCACCCTGACATCAGTGCCCCGTACAGCGAACAGGAAGCTCCAAGCAGCAGCTGGCCAGGGGCAGCTCCAAGGCAGGGAGTGGGGGGGGGGGGCAGGAGCTGTGGTGCTGCAGACGCCAGCAGAGGGAGGAGCACCCCTGCTCCAGAAACACCCTATTTATAATGGCGCCCTGGGCTTTCACCCAGTTTGCCTGTGCCTAAGGCCAGCGCTGCTAGTCTTTAAACAGAAGTGAAAACAGTGATGCCAACTCATGATTTTGCCATGAGTCGCACAATAATTATTGTTTTCCTTAAAGCCCCAGCTCCTGGAGTCAAGTGGATATGTGATGATTTCAGCCTGCATTCTTAAAGAAACATGAAATTTCTAACCCTCCTGGCTGTGGCGAAAGCTTCAAAATGTGACCACAGTGCACCCTAAAGGCTCAAAAAGCAGACGACAAATAAAAAGAACACCAAATCTATTATTTTTACATAATCTCATGATTTTGGGTGAGCCTGATTCATGATTTTTTAACATTTGGGGTTTTTAACATTTTTCATGAAAGTGACTTGAAAGTGTCAATTTCACTCCTGTTTAAGGTCAGTTTGTAGTCTATTATTTGTAGTGAGGTAAACCCTAGCACCCCAGGTAGGTGCCCTAGTACAATGTTTCCAAAAGTTTAACTATCTATTTCAAGCTTGATGAACCACAAAAGAATGATCTTGATTTTTTTCTACAATTGTTTCAGTCCTTGTAGTCAAGAGTTAGTAACAGAGTTAGAATATACATTACAATTTTAAACCTAACCAATGTCCCTTAAGGGACTTGACACAAGATATCCTAAGATGTTTGTATCAGAGCTGGGTGGGTCTAATATTTATTTATTTTTTTCTTTGTATAGGAATTAGATACAATGCTCCTGTCAGCTAATTTCTGTTATCTGTAAACCAAACAAACCAACCCCTAGAGTTTTCAGGTCCTCAGTAGCCCCTATAATCAAGGTTCAAGTCCCCCTTCCCAAAAATCTGAAATGGTGCCCCAGCAAGAAAGCCAGGCATTCAAGGCCTAATAGTCTTTTACATGGGCCAGTTCAGGATGAATTTAGAGCATGCTAAATTCCCATCCATCCCTGATGGTTTCCCTTCGCCTGGTGTGAGTACTGGAGACCAGACGGCTCCCGTCCCTTTCTGTCAAGCGTGGCTGCCCCCCCCCCGCCTCCTTTTACTGAAAGCTGGAATGTAAGAGTAAGAAGTGAGATGATGATGATGATAATAATAATAATAGAAGAGGCAGGGAGGCGCTGCTCAGCCAGGAAGGCGAGGCAAGCGCAGCTGCAGCTCCAGCGCGCTCTTTCTCTCTCTCCCCTTGCTTCTGTCTTTGCTTCCCAAGTTCCAAGGCGATCCGAGAGCCAGGGAAGCCCGACAGAGGAGATCCATGCTCACGGTAGGGACAGACATCGCAACAGCCTACCCCAAATATCCCTGCGCTTTCCTTAAAGCGCCACTGCCTAGGGGGGCTCCCTGCGGCATGGCTCGGGGCACATGGGAAGAGGTGGAGCGAGGCGCGTACAGACTGCAGGGACCCCGCTGCTTTGCATGAGGCGCGGCTGTGCGCGGGCGGGCTGGAGGAGGGGGCGCCCAGAGTTCATTCAGAGCCAGGGAGCGGAGCCGCTGCCGCCCCTCCGCCGCTTTTGTTGTCTTCGGATCAACGGGAAGCAGCCGCCGCCGCCGCCGCGCGTCTACTGCAGGTCGGCGCACGCTGATGCCAGCCCCGGGGCCAGAGACGGGAGCAGAACCCAGCCGGGGCGGGGCGGGGCGGGTCCGCAGCCTCTCCGCCTGCCTCTTCCCTTCGGGTAGGGGCGGGTGCGCGCGCAAAGGTTGCGCCCAGCGCTCCCTCCAGGAGGCAGAGCCAGGCAGGGCAACTCTTCCCCGCCACCTCCTGACTCAAAGCCGGATCTATAGTATCAGCGGCTGGAGGAGGAGGGAAGAGGTTTTGTGTGCCCCCACCCCCCGCCTTGCCTAGAGTTGCTTGTGATCGGGGAGGTGAGGGAAGCGTTTTGGAGCCGGGAATTGATCGGAAACGGTAACGAAGGTAACAGCCCGCTGGGAAACGGGGACAGTCCGGGTTTCAGCCCAGCAGAGACTTTTGCCTTTCGCCCCCCGCCGCGGGGAAAGCGAGGAGGACGGGAGTGAGAGCGCCTGGCTTGGGGTGGGGCTGCTTTGGGCAGCGGGGCGCGCCCGGGAGGGAAAGGTGCCGGGGCAACTCGGGTTGGGCTCCGTGCGGGAGCGAGGGCTGGGAGGACACAAACCGCAACCCAAGGACGCTGCTGACTTGCATAGTGGGTAAGCGTCGAGAGAGCCAGAGACACGCCCGGACTGGGGACTCGCGAGGGTGCTTCAAAGCCAATGGAAACGGGGGCTGTGCTGGTACCTGCCTCTCCATCGCACAGGAGTCTGTCCTAGGCTGGCTAGTGATCATCTCCAGCCCCCGCACGTGTAGTCGCTTGGGCTCCTCCTTGGGAGAGTGGAACATGAAGTGCAGACATATGAATGAGGACAGGAATGCCATGAGTGGATAGTCACACTCCGTTTCACAAGATTTGCTCTGGGGAGGAAAAGAGACTTTGTGGGGCAGTGAGGAGACCCAGTGTGTGTTTGTTTTTTTTTAAAGGTGCTTTTAAAATTGCAGGTTTCTTCCCCACCCCTTAATTTTTTTCTGCCCATCAGTCAGTACAAAGAACAGCATATAACATGCAGCTTGGATGCAACTATTTAGATTTTTAATACATGGGAGGAAGTGTAATTATGATCCCTACAAGCACTACTTCTGCTCACATTTTATTGCAACTAAGGTAGTTCCAGGAAACAGCATAGGTTTTTCAATATGAAGACATATCCTTAATTTTAAATTGGGGTCCTAACTGTTCCTAAATCTGAGATGATCTTCAATTTTTCAGGAACAAGAGGCATCTCTTTGTGCTGTGTTTGTATAGCACTTTGAAGATGCATGCTGATAAACTAATTAAAGTGCTAACTTTTTTTGTGTAGTCATAATGAATTTGCCTCTGTGTCTTTAAAGGATTTAGCTAGAGAAGAGGAGCCGGAAATTATCAGATACAGCTTTATCTTTGTAATAATACATTGAACAGCTATTGCTCCATCCGATTGTTTTATAATCCCAGAAATTTGGTGAGCAGATTAGGCACATAAATTGATAACTAAGACTGTAATTTTGTGATAGCTGTAAAGGCTTTCTGTATACCCCAAATTTCACCCCAGTTCTGACATTTGAATTGGTGTTAAAACAAAAAGGAACTGAAGTATAAACAGACGCAAAAGGTATCAAACTTCATGAGTTTTTATGAGTTTTTCAATCAGAAATCACAAGTTATGATATTCCCTTTGCAGACTAGTCAGTTTACTGCATTTGTCTGCACTCTTGATTCCTCAGCTCCACCCAAGTGGCTGAGCACGTTATTATTGATGTTACAGGCACATATCATTGTGGCTCTTTTATCTGAAGCTGTAGTGTCTGAAATGTAGCTAGCAGCTAATATAGATTGTTTGTTATTGCTAGAGGGGTAAAGCAATGTTCTTACTAAACAGGGAAATTGCTTCTCTGTGTGTGTGTCTATGTCTATATAATAGAGAGAGGACTCCTCTGTCATAGGGGTAATCATAGTGATTTCTTAGGTAAGGTTGCACTGAGATTTGCACTTAAAACTGGTCTAAATCCTTTCTCTAATATAATTTAGTGATTGAATTTAGTCTCGAAAATTGACAATAACTCTCCAGTGTTGCATGTTCTATGTAATAAGTTTTAGTAAGATACTTACCAATTTTTGTAGTAGCAATGTTTGAAAATGCTCCCTTTTTGAAATTTTGCCGCGTTTTCTTTATATTTTTGGGCAGTGGGATGGGGGACTCCTTTAATTGAACAACCATACTCCCCTCAAACTCCACACTTAACACTCCTGCATATTCAGATGATAGTTCAGCCAGACATATTTTTAAAACACAGTGGCTAAAAAGTTTTAATGAACACTTAAAAAACAAAACAAAAAAACATTGCGTAGATAGAATATGTGAGTCGGTCAAGGTGAATCTCTAGAGAGGCTGATAGGCTTGTAGAGAGGGCCAGGAGAGTTGTGGGTCTCTGACAACCAGGCCTTTAACTTGCATCTCTGCTACAGAGATCACTCTGCTGAAACCTCCTGTGATTTTTCAGAGGTCAGCCTTGGTCTGGCAGGCCTGTGGTAGCCCTTTGGGTTGGAACTCATCTGCAGGGCTTAATGACTATGAGGGAGGAAGACTATGTGTTGTGGGGAAAGAAGGGGTATGGATATGGGGGAATGAATAAGGTGCCATTGATGATGTGAGGTAGAGAGACAGAATTGGTTACTGCAGAAGAGTTGGGGAGCAGGAGCGAGCAGCAGAGCTCTTCCCTATCTCCCTGGTCCACTGGTCTCTAGATCTGCTGTAGAGCACAGTTCTCTGGTCGCAGCATGCAGTCTGGTCTCTCTAGTCACATGGACCTTCCACCTGCATTCCACATAGAAAATTATGTCCCCCCTTTATTTGTATATTTGCTTTAATGACCATTTATTTTCATCCATAAAAGGAAATGATCATGTAAATAAAGGGGAAAGATAATTTTCTATTTGGAATGGAAGTGAGGGAACCAGGCAACCAGCTGTGACTAGGGAGCTGGGCTCTGCGCGTGGGGCTGGGAAGTGGTGGGAGTGGGATCAGAGACACTGTCTCTGATTGATATCTGTTTGATACAATGCATTTTCAGTGCATATATTATTTGGCTATGTTGGACTTAGGGGAAACAGCAGGGAGATAGTTGAATATTCTGCATTCTGTTCACTGTGCTCTCTGCCTGAATTTTGACACACACATTTTTGATTAGCCAAAGAGTTTAAACATTTTAGGCACTGTGAATAAAATTGTCAACAGCACCAAAGTCACTTAGACTCAAGGGCTAGATCTACAAAGGGATTTATGCACTTCACTGCTACTTTACCCAATAGCCCAGTAGTTAGACACTCCCCCAGAATGTGGGACACCTGGGTTTAAATCCCTGCTCTGCCTGATATGGAGCAGGGACTGGAACTAGGGCAGGGATCAGTAGCCTTTGGCACCTGGCCCGTCAGGGTAAAGCTGCTGGTGGGCCAGGCCAGTTGGTTTAACTGGAGCATCCGCAGGCACGGAGCCCCGCAGCTCCCACTGGCCGTGGTTCGCCGTTCCCGGCCAGTGGGAGCTGCAGGGCTCTGTGCCTGCGGAGGCTCCAGATAAACCGGCCCGGCCCGCCAGTGGCTCTACCCTGAGGGTCCAGGTGCTAAAGGTTGCCGACCCTGAACTAGGGTGACCAGAGGTCCCAGTTTTATAGGGATAGTCCTGATATTCAGGGCTTTGTCTTATATAGCCACCTATTACCCCCCATACCTGTCCTGATTTTTCACACTTGCTATTTGATCACCTTCATTGGAACCCATGTGACTCCCCCTACCAGGCAATAGAGTCATTGGATCTCTCTGGTTACTGCCAGTCTCGCTATGTCATGTAAATGATGGTATTACATTCTGGCTCTATGGATTTTTGACCCAGTTCAGAAAAATGCTAAGCATGTGCTTATCTACAATGGGACTTAAGCACATGCTGAATCAGGGCTGTCGGAGTCTCACTGTAAGAACCAAGGTTTTGGCCCAGTGATGCCAGCCTTGCACTGGGTAGTATCTTATCCCATAAGAATGGAGGATCAGGGCCTTAGAAATTAGCTACACGATCATAGTGATGTTTTCACTCTGGCTTAGTCTGATCCCTTTGTGAGGGAACCTGAGCTGCTGTTTGGGCTATTGGGGCTCTGTCGCTGTGGACTCCGGCATAATTCCAACATGGCTTAATACATGGTAGCCACTTCAGGGCTAACTCTGGCCTTCAGACACATCTGGCACAGATTCATTTTCATTTTGCTATTAGAGGCAGTATTTATAACAGAGGGCATCTTCTGCCTTTTATTATATTACCCCTCCCCCAGTCTTTTTGTGTTTTGCCAAGCACGTAACTCCTCTTTTTTCTGACACCATCTGAGTTAGCATTTTATCCTGTTTCTACTTTTTTCAACAAATTCTTTTTCAAATTAGTGCTTCCAAATTGCTGATGACCCTTCAGAAAAGATAATAGCTACTGGGTGATGCCTTTATACAAAACATGGTATCAAAAATCATGTTTAACGGTGTCTCTGCACTGTAAATAGTGAACAGTATGTAATTAGTCTCCAATTGAGTAATTATGGGTGTGCTGGGAATTATTTTCTTTAATCATTGACTAAGTTTGTTTTATTAAAACACTTGGACACTATTGAAGGCTTGGCAAGAATTTCTGTAATCTGACTACAAGTATGTTCAAACATAATATAATTTTGTCTCTCTCTTGTTCACAAGATTCAACTGTACATACAATCGCCCGAATATACATGCATAGAATCGGGAATGCAAGTGGTGAATAATCACAAAAGGCTAGATTCTTCCATCCTTGATCACAGTGAGTAGCACCCTTACTCCTCCACAAGTTGTGCGGTCATACCTCACTCTTTTTATTTTTTACTTGCCAGGAATCAAAGCGGAATAACTAGGCCCGTAGGATGTGTAGTGTATTAGAGTCTTCTCCTGAATTGAACTTTATTTTTATTATGTATGCCTGATTCTGTCGTCCTTGTGTACACTGAGAAGTAGTTTATTCCTCAAGAAGTCCGATTTGAAGTTAATGGGACAACTTGCAGGATAAAGTACTACTCAGTGTGTGGAAGGGTGGTACTTACAGTTAGGAACCTCATTCAACATAGCACTTCACCATGTGCTGAAGTCCCACTGAAGTTAAGCAAGGGCTTAAGTGCTTTGCTGAAGCAAGGCTAAAATGTATAGAACCAGATTCTGATACCCTCAGTTACATGAGGTAGTACCTTACGTCCAGCTCCTCAAAGGTATTTAGGTGCCTAACTTTCCATTGACTTCAAATATCTTTGAGGATCTGGGCCTTACTCCAGATTAGTCCTGTTGACTTCAGTAGGGCTATTTCAGGAATAAGGAACCAATCAACATGAGTAGGGGTATCAGAACCTGGCCAGTATTCAGACCCTGAAATAAAAGTGTCTTGATTTCCAGAGGTGTATGCCCACTTTTATTTAGGTAATTTACTATCGACTTAGAAGCCTGTCTTTAAGCACCCAGGTTTGTAAGTAGGAGCCTCTTGTTTTCTGGTAACCCAAGCTCCACTATAATTCTTTTATAAAGCTGTATTGCACAACAAATTTATCATTTATAGTGTCTTTAATATCAAATGTATACCTCAGCACTTTTAGAGAGTTCATCATAGCTACCCACCCTGATGTATGAAGTATAAATAATAAAAATTAAATAAAAGAAAAAGATACATTTTTGGATTAAAAAATCATGAAACATTTTCTATCCATATTAGTGTAAAATGCCATCTGACACCAAAATTAAATTTGGGACCAACTACATTGGCAGTGTCCTTTTGCTTTACCTGTCTTGACACAATTGCAAAGCCTTTCAGTAAAAGGAATGAAAGGTTCTTTACTTTCACTGTAGCATCTGTAAAAGAGTGCTGTAACCTCTGCTGAATACTGTTTGGTTAATTCCTACAATAGTCCTCCTTAGTGAATCCCAAGAGATTCCTATGTTATACCCAGACACTTGGGTCACTGTTTTTCCTTTCTCTGTTAGCGGAAGCACACCAACTGATAAAATGGTGTGCTGCAGAGTTGAATATATCGGAGGGTTAATAATGGGATACAGAGCCTCGGTTGGTAGTAGCTAAAATTTGATTCCATTTAATGGCTTCTTGGTGGCATATGTGAAATGAGTTGGTCTCAGTTCTCTTAATGCACAGCTGCCCATATCACAAAATCCAGGGCTGTAGTTGACTTTGACTGTAACTTCACTTTAGTGAAGAAGCCAAGGGGTGAATGACTACAGTGACAGCGTATGCCTATCCTCTTACTCTCTTGTATTTGTTTCTAGTTTAAAATATAGCATAGCTTATTATTAATAGGTTAGCCTTACTTACCAAGTAACATGGCAAGAAATGGAAGCTTTAGCAGCCAGCTTGGTTTTAGTGACCTGGAGCCAGTCTAATATTATACTGTAATGAGCTGTTACAGCTGTCTCTACTAATGCTACAAGATGACAATGAGGTGCAGATACCATGGAGATGGGTGCAGTATAAATATTCAAATAGAAAAGACTGCACTTTTCACAGGTACGGTGAATGTTGGTATTACAGCAAACTGTTCTCCACAGACATTGTAGTCACAAGTGTTGCTCCAGCATATTTGGTTCCAGTTATGTAATTCCCCATCTTCACATATTTCTTGGAAGTACCAGCAACCTCATGTCTCTTACAGAAAGCAGAGTGTAGTTTCTAATTTTCTGTTGTCTTCTGGCATTCAGACAGTGGCAGAAGGGAGAAAATGAATCATCCTTTCCACCCGTTTTGGGATGGAACATCTGTAATTGTGCACCCTGAGCTCTGCTCCAAGCTACACTTGTAAATCTCAGGTCATTCTGTAGTGGAGGGTTTTGTTTCAATCTTCAGAAGCACCTCACTTTAAGCACTTCCACAGGTTTTGGCAAGCCTTTAAGAAACTACAACAGGACTAATATTTTTGTGGCTGACTTCTTTACTGCTTCCAAGTGCTGATTTGAAATGGAGGGCATCCTCCTCATCCTACAGGCTGACTTTCCTTGGGCCTTACAATACTTGGGTTGAAATCTTGCCTTGGTTGAAGTCATTGCAAAACTCCCATTGATTTCACAGTAGCCAGGATTTCACCCTGGACTTGTTCATGCATTTGTGGAATCGCTGTTTTTAGCCACATAACTCAAGCACCAGTCAATGAGTTTCACAGGTCATGCATTGAATTGTTGGTTTTTGGATTAAAAAATCATGAAACATTTTGGCACTTTATAAGCCAGTCTCTGCTCAGCTACCTAATTTATCGTTATTGAACCATTATTGAATGTAATTGATGTGAAGTGCCCAAGTGCCTTGTTATCCAGCACATTCATGAAATGATTGAGGGTGTGTTGATCTCCAGACAGTGAGTGAGGCCGTCATCCTGGAATAATACTCTTTGTCTACCACAGGAAACCTGATGCCTCAATTGATTGTCTCTGTCCAAATTTGTAAACTGGAGGTGACAGAAGAATACCTTCGGTTTTCCTTTGCTGAGAACTGTTGCAACCTGACTACTTTTACCTCCGGGCTTGTGGGCAGCAGAGAAATGGGATGTCTGCTTTTCTGGCAGATTCTGTGGTATTCACACACAACCACAGACACTGATAGCTCTGCAGTCTAGTGCTGGAGCCAATATATTCCCCTATGGACAAAACCACTTAATTACCAGCTTCAGTTATCTTTGGGAGAAATCTATGATTTTGGCTACTTTACTTGTCATTTCATGCCTTTTTCTGCATGCATTCTTCCTTTGTGGATTTGCTTGCACTTCTCTATAGAATTCATCAGCTTGCCATCTTCAGGAAGAAATTAAAATAAGCCTCTAGTCTGGTCAGGGCTTTGGCATAAGATGGGACTGTCTACTGCAGGTCATCTGCTCTAATTGCTGATTGCCTTTTTCTATACTTGTTACTCTGCGGCAAATTTGTCTGAGGTGATTGCCTTGCTTGGAACCTGTTGCATTCTGAGTATGTCTTCGCTTTCATCTGGAATAAGCATGTTTGGTTTGGGTTTTTTTGTTTTTAAACCAGACATATCAGGACATTTATGCTCTGTCCTGACAGACACCTTGGTCAAATTCTGCGTATGTCTTTGCTTTCATCTGGAATAAGCATGTGTTTGTTTTGGGTTTTTGTTTTATTTTTTGAAACCAGAGATACCAGGACATTTATGCTCTGTCCTGACAGACACCTTACTCAAATTCTGCAGAGCCTGTCAACTCAGTGGCAAATATTTGGGGCCCCAAATTGCCACCATACCCAACTCAAGTTCTGGGGAATTTCTCCACATACTGTCAAATACCTTCCCCCCTCCCCCCAAATAAATAAATACCTAAATGTCCTAGAGTTATTCCAGTTTTGGCCCTAAAGTCTCAGGTCATGATGAGGATCCGGATGATCTGTTAACTTGATGGTGTGCATCACATATTGATACAGACAGTGGTCCCAGTTTACTGCCTGTCATTTCTAGCATTTCATCTCCTTCATCCACTTCTTCCATCACCAGGCTGACAGAAGAGTTGAGAGGTTTAATTGCACCCATAAAGAAGGATTGACTTCTCATCTGAGCCACAGGCTCATCCCTTCTATTTGGCACTTCACTGACCCTTCTCTACCTCCATAAGTCTATGCATAGTACTAACATGCATTCTCTTGCCTCCTTTATGCTTGGAAGGGAATTTAACTGCCCCGTTCTTATGTTGCCTTGGCATGGGGCAGTTAAAGTGTATTATTCTTGTATGCATACATAATTGAATTCCCTAAAGTGTTTGTAAATTACAGGGGCCAAGTTAGCATACTATACGGGGAGCAGAAACTGGCTTCAGAATGGTCTGGGCCTTTGAAGGTCTGGCAGTGTTTCTACTGAGTGACCACAGCAGACGATACACAACTTGTATGCAAGTGATTCCTGATCTGTTGGCTACAGCACCATTCACTCTGTCAGCTGAAAGCTTGATGCTGAGGACACTTGGGTGAGTCCTTGCAGAACTCCCACAGTCATTGGAAGGCCCTGATTGGGCATCACTTGCCACTTCCAAACTTGTTACAGAGGACTTCATACACTCTTCTTGGGCTCAGACAAGACCAGCTCTATATCAGGGCGATACGACAATGACACCTGAAAACCAGGGAGACATTGGACTCTACTAAGAGTAACAAAATTGTTTATCTTTGTGGTTGGTTTAAAATAATGTTTAGTGTGCCTTTAATTCTCAAGCAGTGCAAAGTTCATATGGACAAGATGTGGAAGTTTCAACAGCCACCTTTATTTTAGTAACTAGTAAACATTTAAATAGCAGCATATCTCAGTGGCCGTCTCTTTCCCAGTGCTATAGTTCCCGAGGTCAGGATTAAGGCACGTAGGCAGGTAAGACTGTCACTGTCTGTGCTTTGCATAATGACAGGTTTCAGAGTAACAGCCGTGTTAGTCTGTATTCGCAAAAAGAAAAGGAGTACTTGTGGCACCTTAGAGACTAACCAATTTATTTGAGCATAAGCTTTTGTGAGCTACAGCTCACTTCATCGGATGCATACTGTGGAAATGCAGTATGCATCCGATGAAGTGAGCTGTAGCTCACGGAAGCTTATGCTCAAATAAATTGGTTAGTCTCTAAGGTGCCACAAGTACTCCTTTTCTTTTTACTGTCTGTGCTGTACCATTTAAGTGGAATAAATAAAAAACTTTAGTCTCTAGGGTGTCTTTTTAGTTATCCTTAAATTCACTTTAAAATTATATTATAACACCACAAAAATATTCTGAAACACGTCTTCCCAGCACTGATAATA